GAAATAAATATCTTGATGAAATATTACGTGAATATTTTAATGAATCACTCACATTTTTATGGCCAAATTCTTAACAGCCTTCTGACTCATTCTGTTGATACTACAAATCGCTATTCCTTGGATAAAATAAAATTTGGAGTATGAATTCAAGATAAACTTGAATAAGAGTTCAATAATAGTTTACCGGGAAAATCGAGCTTATCAGATGGATAATTATCCGAGTCCACAACAGCTACAACCGGTGTACATATATAATGCTGCCATAGGCCGATCATCATAAATACGAGAGTGCAAGTAGTCGTTGCGTGAATAAAAATCCAAAAAAGCCTGGATTAAAATGCAACATTAATCCATAAGTTCACAGCAGAACGATAATAAAAAAATGAGTGTACCTTTCTATCCAAGGCCTGGAGGGTTCACTGACGTATTTATATCCAACTATAGTTGAATTATCAAGGTATTCTTTCCAACAGCTTCCAAAAGCCCAAAATAATCTTTCAACGCGACAAGAGTGTCTCCGTTTCCTAGGCTCTGCCCATCGGTGAGAAGTTCCATATCTCCAGTGTCTTCCAGTTTTTATCCCTGTACTTTCCATGAACTTTACCTCCACGGTGTGCTCTATTCTCTAGCCATCCTGGAAGTAAACAACTGTTCTCACAAAATAACGATTGACCATTCCCTTGAGAATTGAAGGGCAAGGACATTGCACATGCAGAAAATACCTGAAAAAATCATGAACATTTCCCTTCCGCAAATGCTCATTTCCTGGTTTATTCCAGGGCCCACAACATTACTATCTCACGCACGAGATCTCTCGTGTCAACTGCAAAGCGCACTCCACCACTTGTACACCTCATATTACTGGAAAAATATTGTCAAGGCTGACAAAGAAAAAGCATAACAAATGAAAAGATTGTATTTGACATATGAATAGTCGTGAATTGTTCATGGAATTGTGATGACTGTGGGATTTCGGTAGGTGATATTCATCTTGTTATGTTTTTTCTGAATAATAGAAAAGACAAGTAGACGTTCAGGTGCATAGATTCCATCGATTCAATCCAGGAAGCAATAATTCGTTGCTGACATTTAAAATTGCCACAGCTGTTGGTGTCCAGTTTTTTTTTCTCTTTGAAAGAGTAATGGCCATTAACAATTGGACGGAGGAAATGAGCCATGCATTTCAGGGTACTAGTTTTATAGTGTCATAACAAAACGTCATTTGTGTTACTCAGTTTCGACGGGTGTCTACTACTTGCCGACGTAAACTCCTGGGAAATCTGCGATATAACTCACGCTCCATATATACTATATTAGCAATAAAGTTGGAGGATAAACCTATAAAATTGCTTCACATATTTGACATACTGGGACCGATGAATTTTCAACATCCACATGATAACCCAAACTGTCGGACCACGTGTTGCCTTTTTCTTTTGATCCATCTCTCGATTCACATCGACCCACATTGTATTTCGCTCTCATGTCAAATATATCTCGACAAAAATTTCAATTTCATCACGACCATGATTTTTAACAGGTCTCCGTATTTTTGTTCTACTTTAAAACAATAAAAAAAATTTGTAAATCAATCATTGGTGTTACAAGCCTCATTTCGTAGAGACGAGATGTATTCATTTAATTTCTGTCGCATTGCAATTTAAAATCGCATTCCAATGAAATTGCGCGGGTTAACAATATTTCCATTGACACGCGGGGGAGAAAAAATACAAATATACGTAAATTTATCACGCCGCAATATATGGGTAAATGACAAGGGATTCGGTGACATTTATTTAGTTTTACACAGCGACAGCGTTTAACCTGGATTTGGACGCAATGTGCGATTTGAATGCCCGACAAATTTTTATTCAGCGACAACGTTGAATTTATGACTCCGTCGGATGTACTACCAAAATTGCTCTCACCAGGATAAACCGCATAGAATAATAAACCTGAACAATGCAGTGGCTTTGTAACTGGTAAATCGATTTGGCTAGCTCCAGTATAGAAATACAGTTTCATCTTAATTAATTTTCCGAGGCGGTAATGTCGGCTGCGGAAATGTTGGATAATGAGTAACTGATTGGTACACGAGTAAACAAGAGGAAATTATTTTCACACTGGACATACCTGTCCGCCATTGATATCCGACATTTACATCAATTCAGGTGTATTATATTATTTCCGCGAGGGCTAGGGAACCTGTCATGAGTAGATGATGTAGCGAAATTACGAAATTGTTTACGATAGGGTGAAATAAGGGCTGAAATAATCCTCATTCCACCCCTCAAATGAATAAACCTATTTTAGTTGATTCTTTGATGCTTTATTAATAATTATTTCGTGTATCTGAAATGTGAATCAATGATTATTTTTTAGTATGCAGTATTGGTTGATTCGAATGAATATGGAGGATCAATATCGAATTGTTCGAGGACCCTGAGGTCCGGGGATATTTGCATAGTTCGAAATGCCCGTTCCTCAGGAAAAGAAAACAAAGAATTTCGGCAGTTTGGGCCTGGAGGGGCTGCATTAAGCCACATTCCTCAGGAACTCCCCTGCAGAGAAATGAGGTCATTTTCCTACCCTTGGAAAGCCCATGTGCACCTCACACATCGTCGAGAATCCAGCCACTTTCACAATGTGCTGAATTACCCCTCGTCTCCTACTTCCGGTTCACACCAACAAGCAAATTAAAATAAAGCGTTTCAAGAGCGCCCGGCTGTAGAGAGAGAGAGTAAAAAAACACCGGGGATCCAAAGTAGAAATGGTAAGTACGGATCAGCCGCCTTGATTACCGTCCGCTAATTGTTTCCCTCGCCAATTTAATTATGTTAATAGCGTATTCAGCACTCGTTAAACCACAACACAATTTACCGATGAATAAACACTGAGGCAGACAAATAACAATGAAAAATAGACTAAAAATTGAGGAAAAAAAAAGGAACAACTTTTACTCAAGCTATTTTCAGAGCAACAATAATTTGTCTGTTATCAATGTAAAATAGTGAATTACAGAATAATTAGTGGAATTATGTTTTTGTAAAAAAATAATGACTGAAAATATTTCTGAGGTACTTTGGTAAACTTTATCCCCGACGATTTTCAAAACTGCTCTCTGAAGAGCTCTTGAACAGGGAAAAAGATGCTGGGATGAGAACGTAAATGAGCGGGTTGAAAAAAAAAGAGAAAAAGAGGCGCGGTAAATGCAAAAACCTGGGCTGTACTGAAAGCTAAGTTGGTGAGAACACAGAAAAGCATTTCGAGTGATTATAACCCCCTGCCACCAACAACCGAACGCCCCTTGTACTTTTCAACTCTTTTCCTCTGGATGTGAAGACCTCCACCCACTTCTCCCCATTTCCCCTCATTTTTTTACACTCAACTCCCATTTTCCCACCTTCTTTACTTTTTAATCCGCTTCATGAGCACAATGCGTTACCCCGCGATGCAATTTCCATACTCATCGGATTTTTCTCACGTAATCCGGTGAATCATACTGAGCTCGAGGAATTTCAACCGTTGAAATTACGTTTTATCTCAGCTCTTCATTGAACCACTTGAAAGAGAAACCAGATTGGCTGTCTTCGGTAATTATAACATTAATCAATCGAATCGATGGAGAATTGATCTCTCGGATAAAGTGGTTATAAAAATATTTAATAGAATTAATCAGTAATTTGTCGTTAGCGATGCAATCAGGGGAGACATGAATTTTCCATAGCAGTTTTTACAATGAACGATAAAAAGTATTAAAGTTTCCTGGGTGACGAAGTTTCATGTGATTTGATGCGAGGGTTGAAATGGCACATCATTTCACTGAAGGAGCGAGTTGAAGTACTGCGATGGAGAGACGATAGGAAAATGTTATCCATAGAAATGTTGCTATCAGACAAATGCTCGGAGGTTTCTAGTGCCAGAGCCAGTCGTTTTACAGATGGAGTCTATACCCCGTTTATTGTTCTAGAAATGAACTGGCAATTCGGTCTCGAGTTGAACATATCCACACAGTTGATCGAGTTATGCAATCAATCCCACAATTGCGGGCAAATGTAGTGAACAATTCAACGAAATCAGAGATTGAGAGAAAAATAAATCACGGCCTCCGGTTTCCATTCATCAGTAACAACTGAATCAATCGGTGAATCCAGTGATCATTGAGCGATTTCCAATTTGTTGTATCAGTAGTGATTAGTTTTAAATTCCGATCAATTATCCACCTTCGCCATTTGCTATCCAAAAGGCCTGTCTGTGAGGCCTGGCTAACACGGGGTATAATTAGTAATGCCAATTTCGGTGCAAGCCCTAATTGCAGCCCGTACTTGTCAACGAAAATTTATGTCGTCCGACACGCACGTGTATTGACCATCGGTTCTATCTATCCATCTCGCTTGTTGCAACAGGCTACATACACTAGGATGTTCTCCAACTGTCCAGATGACATTACCAAAAAATCAAGGAACAACAGGCGCATTCATAAGAAATATACAAATAAAACATGTTTTTTCATTGTTCAGACCCCAATAAAATCCACCCATTGAATTTACCACAGTCAGCTTTACTCACCACGACATAACTACAAAATAAAAAATATTTTCCAGAACAGCAAAAATATAGTAACTGAAAAACAACAACTGGAGTAGGTTTACGCAGATGGAAGAAGGAATGAGAAAAAAAGGAATGAGGAAATGAATTTGATTCGAGGGAGTCGCCCATATGGGAGTAGAATTTCACAGTGGCTTATCGTAGGGTTTCAGTTGCGTGACAAAATCCAGAATTCGAATATTATGGAAATATAATAGGTCTTTGGTTGATAACTAGAACAAAAAATCAACTCCGTGTTTAATCGCAAGGACCAATTTATTTCACTCGGCTTGATTATTTGAAATTTGCCATTTCGGTGACAGTTTTCCAGGGTTTTAAGCTGTTTCCACTGGACAACAACCGATGTAACTATGCAAATCAGCGAGTGCCATGGATCCTTTGTGCCAACGTGTGAAAATCCTCCGTGCTGTACAATTCTCTTGGATAATGCAATTTCATTTGAGTTTAAATTATCCATGTGCATGTGTGCGTTTTGGTAAATGAGAATTACACTGCGGCGTGTATATTACGGTATTTACTGACGATAGGCCAAAGGGAGAAAGCTGTTGTACAAAGCAGAAAAGACCCAGAGAGGTTGTGTTGGGCCATTTGCATTTAAAGCGATACCGTCTTCACGGACATTGATATATTTCTATCTATATCGCTGTCACCTCCAAGTTTATCTTTTCAAAACTAGATAAATCGTATTATAACGAGTTTTCACAGTCCCTATAACTTTAACATCTCTGGCTATTGGCTTTTATATTGTTTTATCTCTACTTGAAACTCGAGACAAGTTATGAGAGAAAAAGCCAAAAATGTTTTCGTTATTAGATAGAGTACGCTGGATACTCCGAATTTTTTAGGGGTTCAGGGATGTTGTTACGTATTTCATAGTACTAAAGGAATTCTGAATGGTAGAAATAGGGAATAATGAGAAAATAACGAAAGGCGTCGTCAGGATGAAATTTGAGGGAATATAGATAAATAGTCTTGGTAGAATTATGTAATGAACTGACTGTTTTGTATGCTATTTGATAAAGTTGAGGATCAGGACTGTTCCGGGGCTGGAATAGTCCTGAGGATGGCTGAGGGGCTTTAATCACCAGCTATTCTTCATTTTATCCTTTATTATAGTTTTCCGTGAGCGTCTGGTGCTCGTCATGTCGTTCAGTGGCATCTTTATTATTATTCTCGTGGAAGCTTCAGGGTCTGGGGACTAGACCCAACCAACCACTGGGAATTCGTTATGCACCCTCGTACGACGAGTCACGCGGGATAATCGGTTTACAAGGCATCTCCGTCCATTCTCTTTTCAGTAAGCAGCATTTGCGCACCAAAGCTTCCTTGCGAAATCTGAGATATCTTCGTCTCCTCAGTTTCCACCTCTAAAATCCAAAGTTTTGGACTTTTGGATGGTGCACGGTGAATTCAACCAAACTGGAAAATCGCAATTAGGGCATCTTCATTGCGACTAATGCCCAGAGGGAATCTCCGCAAATCCGTTGTACGTGAGTAATTTGCTTCTTCAATGGTAACGTATCTTCTTCATCACTCGATTAACATGCATCTTTTTCGGAAGCTCATTTTCCGACATGTTTCCTTGCTCGGGGTGAATCACCAGCAATGTATGCATTACCTCCATTACCAAAGGGTGAAGACCTTCAAAATGGGGATAATTACACGGACAGAGTGGAATGGCAAATGGTAGAGACAGACTGTCCCATAAATTGTTGTTGCTGTAATTTATTAATTTTTTTTTTTACTCTAGTTGATCCATAAACGGAGTTATTTCACAACGACAAACAGGAAAAGGTGAAGTAGGGGGTGGGAGGGAAAGAGTATGTGCGGCTGGGCTGCTTAAAAAAAATCCTGGCAGCCTGGGCACTGGCCATAAATGACCGCAGCGACGGCATAATGTGGCCACGACGTAATTTATCGCTACGTTACGGATTGTCCCGTGGCGAGTGCGTCAGTATTTATGGCTGCTGCGTGCTGTTGTCTCCCAAACGAGTGCATTACTTTTTTTTCAACATCATTTTGTTAAAAAAAAAAATGTTTTTCATCCCTTTTCAAATCTACCAGAAATGGCAAATAGACTTCTGGCCCCATTCACTTCCCTACTTCCCTATTTCTCTCGTTTTTATTTTCATTGAATTTTCATTTCATTGTTTTATCAAAGCTCAAAGTACCGAACCGAAAATAATCAAACTGTTTTCACAACCGTTTAATGGAGATAAACATACGGGTGAGGGGATTAAAAAGTTTTGGGTAAAGTTAGCAGCGGTTTACCTCTACGGTTCGCAGAATCCCGGTGACTCTAGCAATTAATTCGCAATCAAGCCTTGACCATTCGGATATTCTCGGAAAGACTTTTTCCGGATTCTTCCAACCGGAAATCACAAATTAAGTTGAGTCGGGTATTTAGGGCGTGTTCGGAGTAATACGAGAAATATTTGATTAAATGGACTTGAATTTTCCGCCAGCTGAGGTTGTGAGTTCCAAAAACCGACTATTTCACTACATATACAACCCAAACGCCTCCCCAGTATCGTCTAACAACTTATCTCGTTACAGGGTTTGCTTGAGTCTAGTTTCAACCCCAACTTTCTTAGACTCGATTTGAAGAGACTTTACACCTACATAGCAGTTACGTTGTACTACAATTGGATAGTTTGGGGAATTACTTTTTATTTTCTTCTGGAGTGACGAGACCAATATTTTTCCACTTGTTTTGTTTTTTATCCTTGGATTTTTATTGGTCTGGGCATTGGGGGACCTTAGAGGCCACCGTGCAATCGGATATGTCGGATGGCTGTGGCTTGCCATCTGATTGGTCCACAGTCTACTACCTGCGGCAAATTCGGTGCTCTGACGTGACTGCTCCAATTTCCGGTGGACGGGGGCAAGATATCTTCTCACTTTGAGGAGCTTCTGTTCAGTGGTATCCCTTCACTTACCTATTCTCCACCTTGGTGAACACAGAAATAGCTGCAAGGCTATTTCTACCTTTTGCGTTTGGACAAGAATCCAAAGGTCATACCTTGTGGCAAGGTACTCCAAACGTATCGTTACAATTACGTAAATTAGTTGCTCTTGTACTTCGATCATCTGGACCATCATCTCCACTGCCATTTTTTTTCAAACTCACGAGGTACAATGATTTACTACAACTGATAAATCGTGATATTCAAAAAAAACAATCCAACGTTAGTGTAATTGAAATATTATTTATATTTATTTGGAACGTCATCAGTGATAGAGATTTTAATCTGCCTGGAAAAATGAAATTGATGAATTGAAGACCAATTGTCTTCGCGGGAGATTCGGAATATTTTTGAAATTTCAACTGGAGTCAAACTACCGGATATCAATCTATTGTTTACCGTCTAGTTGACATTGATATTTGGCAGCAGTTGAAAAATACGCGCTCCAAATTGACACTCGTTTGAGAACAGTTTCAATAGCCCGCGAGGCTTTTTGTATCATCACTACAGGACTCTCCATCACTGGACTTTTGATAGAGAATCAAAAGACAATTTAGCCTGTAAATTTCTCAAGACAAATCTCTGCACAAGACTGGTATCGTACAGTTCCCAAGGATTCGTCATGGCTTGATGAATGGCGGCCTCTCTCTTGGTGAGGAGAATCGAATTCCAGGGAGTCCAATCGAGATCTGATTGAAATCGTAGTAAGCGTAATTGAAATAAATCATCAAATTCTGAAATACCAGACTTCCCATGCCAGATGGAATTAACGAGATGATGCAATACACGTGGACCAACTTTAAAAGCAAGACCATTTTTAGAGCCCATTTGTGATTCTGATTTACGGAGGTCCTTCAGCATTTGTTCATAGGGCTCGTACAGGATTGCTGGATCCTTGCTGGGTCTAATGATTGTGCAATTGTCACAAGTGGCTAATGCTTTTTGATTATCCTCAGTGAAAAGTGTGAAAGGCAACAATTTCCCACATCTATGACAATATTTACAATATTTACAATTATTGTAATGTGTACAATCGTCTCGTATTTGATAATAGCAAATGGAATTTATTCTCTCACCTGACGCAATATTTTTTGACATCCTCAGACGTAATCTTCGCCTCCCTCGGCTCACAACAATTCAATATAAATTTGTAGAAGGCCAATTTAACACGCCTCCTCAACTGGTCCATCACTCGAGGATCAAATTTTTTCGCAGAAAAATCCAACTCCTGCATGATGAGATACTGGAGATCCCTAGAACTCTGGCAAGTGTGACCAAGAATGTACTTTTTCAGAGTGGAGAGTATAGAAATGCGGTCACCCTTCTCCTTAGTCAATGCACGGTACATGTCTCTGCACTCTCGTGCTCGTGCAACCCTCAGTGTCTCCACTTCCAGAGTTTTTCCATCTCGGGTTCTCCAGCATAAAGAAGAAGGAAAAGGAAAAAAATACATATATGAAAAAAAGTAGGATGGCGCATCACTTTTTCACGTGCATTCCCTTACTTCCATATTTCGGGTCTCGCCAATATCTCCAGGTAGTCGAGATTACATCGCTCTCGCCTCTCATCGCGCACTTGCATTTTGGCCCGTTCCATTGACCGAAGGAGCTCAATTTCCCGGAGGAGAATCATCGTCTTGGCAGCCATTTTGGAACTATCAAATAGCGTCCGATCGACACGTTCATTCTCCAGAATACGCCAGTGGTCTAGGACATTTTGTAGCATCTCAAAGTCTGAGCGGGTCCTCGGTGCACGATGCTCTACGATTTCGAACTTATTACCCTCGGGTAGGCGAACCACTTCCTCAGGTACTGGTGGATGAGTACGAGTTTGCACAGCAAACCGAGCCAATGACGAAATTTCACTTTTCGTTCGGCAAGCTCTTCAATAAAAGAGAAAAAAACAACAATCTCTTTGATTACCCATGTCCCATTTGAAAAATCCACCTTTACGATTACCTGAAGAACTTTTGTATTTTAATGGCGCACTCCTCCTCCAATCTGCAATCAATCAGCCCCCGGTTGATAAATTTTTTAATGCAATCGTTAAACACCAGGAGAAAATGAAATAGCACCGTGAGAATTTCCTCGTGAGAAATAATTCCTTCGCCTTGAGTCGTAACTCGTCGTTGGTGAGACGAGATCTGGATGCTGAGGATGGTGTCAGTAACTTGTCCCCCGAGTCCGGCCAAAAATACGTCTGGATAGCCGTGTCACGAGATACCGTTGTATACTTGCACGCCGACGTGATAACGACAACGGGCTTCTCATCACAATCGACCTGATACCACAAGCTTGTCTGAGCAGCACGATCATGATACTCCTTCCCCGTAACAACGTTCCTCCATCCACCCACAAATTCTTTATCCACACCATCTTCAATCTCCATTACCGTTATCATATTTTATCATCTGAAAATTACATTTTCCGTTTCAATACCATTTACCAAACTCGCCAATTTATACCACAGACTAGAGGACATGAAATTGAATGGCAGGTCATGTCATAAATCGTCTTACCCTTAAATCAGCTTACCCGTTAAACACTGCGCTGGCCTATTTATCACAAAACCATTAGCTCCACGATCAATGCTCAATCATTCTATTAACAATATCTCAACTGCCCAACACAATTTTCTCTATATTACTAATGAGACAGATATGGTAACGCTCATTAAACCACTATTTCACCAGCGCAACAGCTCAATTGAAAGTTCAACGCCGATAATTCAAGCCGCATGCATCATACATCTAGTCCCTCTAAAATATTATCATCGCCATAGTAGAATATTCCATTGAATAATAACAATCCTCGTAAACCATGATAGATGCTTAATCCCAGCTCATATGCATCAACGAACACTGAAGAATGCAAAAGGTATAGAAAATCTGCTCGCTTTGCCAATGCAGTTGGTAAACCAGATGGAGAAAATCAATATCAATGAATGCCTCTCCAGATATTCGCATTTCCCAAATAACAAACATATCCGCGCATCTCTTCGATTGGAATTATCCAGCAGAAGTCATTTCTGTCAGTCAATAGATGCTTTTTTTAAATTCTTTAACAATAAATTATTACACTCTAGAATGCACTTGAGGTGCAACTCAAAATTTTGATGTTGTGAATGGAATGGAATGGACCCGGTGGATTGAATGCGTCGAGAAATTCCACTTCAATCTCAAACTATGTCTTCCACAGGGAATAACACTTCTATAACACGGAATGGACTATACAAGATTGATTATTCCACCTGGAACAGGTAATTTCTGTAGAAAGTGCGCCTACGAATTTAACATGTCATTCCCACATGCAACTTTATTCAAAAAGAAAAATTACTTTTTCGTTTGTTTTTATAATTACGTAATTGAGGGGTTAATTATTCATCCACTGTACAATCCATTATTCATTAGTATTTTGATACTTTTTTTCTCATAAATAAGTGACTAAAACACTGAATTAAATTACGGGCTTATTATGCAAACCAACGTCAAGCACGTACATCCACTATTCTGGTATACATTACACGTTATTGATTCGACACGTTTCAATTCATCATGAATATTTCATTGCACCGATTCAAACAAAAATACATTCTCAATGGATATTTTTTCTATATCGATACAAATGGATCGGAGAATATCTCTAAATGGGGATCGAGGGTGTGACATTGATGTGGAAAATGATTTTAAACTCTAAGACATACTGTGCACGTGTCCCAGTTTCCATCCTCTTTAATTATAATTAATTATTAAAATTGTCAAATGAGAGGTGAATCATGCACTCAATGGGAGTATGTAGATAGTCTGTAGATATCTGTTAATCACAGGCAAAAATGGAAAGACTCTCGTCATAAAATCCCATTCATTCGGCAAAAGAGGGAGCGAAAAAATTCACACACTGGAGAATTGCCTCATGCGTTACTGATTTACATTCACGCGAGGAGTACATCTACGATATAACGTCAGTTGAATTCAAGAGAGGAAAAGTCCATAGCTCCGTATAATTATGAGGGTGGTTTATTTGAGAAACTCCCGAGTGAAAAGCATCAAGTGCATAAGAGAGAACTTATAACAGGCACTATGCGGAATAACTTTTACTCTCCACAATTCGTGCATTACTAGAGTTGGAAATGTTGGAACTCACGTGAAGATTTTATGTAGAAGGAGACTGAGTTAATAGATAAGTCAAGGTACGTCTCTCACTACCTTCTGGGAAACTGGAATATCATTGTCCTATTCCCTTTAATAAATCGTTATTTTGGTGGAGTTTCTTCATGAATGGCTGTCACATGAAAGACTTTCTGCTCTAGCATATACTTGTGTTGCACCATTGGTCAAATGTATTGCGCCGATTTCACCGGTTTTTTCCCCTTTTTTTCTACATTCGTGGCTGGAATGGTACTTTTTCTTTTGAATTTTTTTAAATTGACTCAGTGTGCGTAATAAAATGAGACTTTTACTTCAGAGAATTTAGTTGCACCGTTCAATCACTGTAATTACTCAATACACAAGGCTAACAAAAGTCTGAAGGGGAGTGACTCAATCTGATTTCTGGAGAAAGGGAATTGTCTCAAGAACGTAGCTGAAGGGGAGATGGATTTTATGGGGTTGCCAGTAGTAACTACACCGTTTGGTCGATCGTTTTATGCATGAAAGCTCTCTTCGAACCAGAACATTTGATCCTCATGAGGCGTTCGGAATATACGTAAGAAAAGCGGATTTGTCTGACATAAAGTGCACCTTAGAGTCGAAAGGGATTTGAGAGAGTTTCATATAGTCAGTCATATCCCCATCCCTCTTATATTTTTCATTTTCCGAGTTATCAGAATATGATCGAATCCTGGATATTTCGAAAGCGCTCAGACATGCGAAATTGTTGCTCAAATTTAGTCAGGTCTTCAAAATGAGTTTTTGCTATTTCGTGGGCTAGATTGACACGATCGAGAAGAATTTTCGAATAGACAGTTGACAAATTATCGATGAAATAATGCGCCTCGCTCTCCTCCTCCGTCAGTAGAATGCAATTCCAAGGTGCCCACTCTTTGTGAACATTAAAACGAACTAGTCGTAGTCGAAATATGTCGTCGACCTCACTGACTATCGATCGACCATGCCAGATGTTGCACACGAGGTGATAAATTCCTGGCTCTTGAATAACGTAAAGAAGCATTGAGAAGCAATTTCTACGATGCTCATCCGCCCGAATGCCATTCAAAAGATATGTGTATGGATCATAGTCGACTTTTTCAACACTATGCTGTCGAAGCCAGTGGCAACCTGCGGATATAAAAGCGGCTCCATAATTTTTAAAATATTCAATGTCTAGCCTTCAATGGCCCCGAGTGTTGAAAAAATTTGCCGTTTATAGGGATTTATGACTTCTATTGTTACTGAAGAGTTTGTTCTGGAGATGGAAATAAGAAAATATAACGTACCAACGCAGCAAGATAATTTTTTCATTCTGACATGAGCCATAAAACGAGTACAGGGGAGTAATCTCATGCAACTTCGGCAGAGAATTTTTTCAGCTACTTTTGGCTCTGAGAGCTCCAAGTCCCTCAGTTGCTCATCGTCGACACAGCAGAAGTGACAATTCCGGATGAAGCATAGAAAAGATACTGGGAGAAGGAAAATAAAAAAACAGTAATCGCATACGAAGGGCGGAATGAAAAACATTTTAGTGTAGATATTTACGGGAAATTCGTTTTTTGAGATTGTCAAGGAGGAGCTCCTTGATATTTCGCGATGCCAATGAAATCTCCTGCTTGATCAGATCTCTCAGAGAACGAGAGGCTGCACATTTGTGCGATTCCAGTGAGCAATTCAATGAAATCAAGATTTCCATTCTTTCTTCCAGAGTAATATCACTCCTGCATAAATTATCATAAAAAAATTTATATTCCCGTGCCTTTTGCGTCCTGAGTGTGATCATCTCTATCGGCTTTCCTTTGTATCCGGTCCATTTAACCGGCTTGCAGTGGAAGTTGAGAAAGTTACACAACTTCTCTTCCCGATGCCTTTCAAGAATTGACTTTCTTTGCTTCTCAACAGACTTCAGCATCTCCACAGTTCTCTCCAGTACTCGCGAGTGCTCAGCTTTTAGAGAGGCTTGGAAATAGTTTATTTTTATAAAATTCAGCTGTGAATTTTTCCACCCCTCGATAAGACTGTAGATTTTATCAAAGTCTGAACGATTTTTTGGGTAAAGTTGACGGAGAATTTCAATCCGATGTCTTTTTCTATTCACCAAATCAGTCAAAACGTTTTACTCCAGTTGATGAGTTTAGTTCGCGAGGTAATGTACCTGTGAAGTTCATCCTTTTCTTCCTCAAATTTTTTGCAGTTACCCACTATTCTTCGATATTCCTCGGTACATTCTTTGATATTCTTCAACATCTTCCAGCCTCGATAACACTTTTGGATGATTCTAGCTTTTCCATCGTAATCGATTCTCCGCATCATGTTCTCGTAGCTTTCGTACGGTCTCGCTACGATATATCTGTCGTGCAGACAGGGTACGTAGCAGTCTGGCCTGAATAAATATAATTGCAACGTAACCGAGGCATTTGATACCGAGATATTTGCTCAGGGGCATGAGATATGAAACAAGATAATCATCACCTCCACATCTGCGTTGATACATCCGTGTTTGACTGGGCTGTCGCATACCTAGTGTCAATACACTGCACACTACGACTACGAAGACTTTCAAAATTGCTTCTGCTTGGTGGACCCGTTTGACAAGCTGCATTCAAATAGATCACTCCAGTGATTCGGTGTCTCCAGCCACCCAAGTAAGGCTTTGCCATTCTTCGATCACTCACTTTCACAGTCAGAGACATTTTTCTCAAGGATTGATACGGATTAATGCCTTATCGAGGCAAAGGTTATATGACGAACGAAGAATATCATTACGTCACTCGTTATTCTTTTAGTTTTGTAATTGGAAAAATAATTGAACAACTCTCGGGCGTAGGAGGGGGGGATTTGAAGGATCATAAAACTAAAAGGCAATATTGCTCGTTGACAATTTCGATTTATTTCTTCTTCACTCGAGAGAGTTGAAGGCAGTTTCTGAATATGTTTATAATTTCATCTGTAGTATCGATTTACATTATTTATATGATTCTATATTTCTATTTCACATTAGAGTTTAATTTTCTTTTCTTTTCTTTTTTTGGATTTAGCGTTGCATCTTTTGGTTCGCGCTCAACACGACTCGCTAAGTTTTTAAAAAATTATGAAATCGAAGAATTGATTTTTACACAGAACAAATGTGGTAATGGACTGAGATGCTAGTGAGCCAATCTCTCTCGCGTACTCGCTCGCAATCATTTCATTCACAATTCATAAAAAATAAATTACTAGATTTGATTTCAATGTAATATACCATAACTACTGAAGCTAAAATGAATGGGGAGTCAGTGGGTCACCTGAACTAATTTCATACAAGTTTAATTATTGGAAAATGTTGATGACATGAAAAATCGAAGACTGGGGGCTCTTTTGAGTCTCTCTTGTGACCATCAGCCAGCAGTTTCACAACGATAAAATTCGTTTTAGTTACTTTTAGAAGATCGACAATCTGCGCATGAAACAGAAAATATTCATTAATATTTGAGGGAATTGAAGGTTTTGCAAATTGCGAACAATAATAGTATTAATTACCTCATTAGCTGTGGTGGGATTCCTGTCTTGACATAGAGTTTGTGCACAGTCCAGCATGTTTTTAGCACGATGGAAGTGTCTGCATGCAGAGGAATATTGCATTTCACTAGTAACAGCCTCCTATTGAACAAGAAAAAAAAAGTAAAATCAATAGAGTAACTCTAGTGGTTAGAAGAAGTGTAATAATGATAAAACCTACGTTTTTCCTATCGACATGAGAGTCAGTGAGCTCCAGGAACTTTTGATAGCCAGCAGCTGGAGGAATGAGTAACGAGGAAAAAGGCAACAGCCTGTGCTCATACCTAACCCTCTCCGAGTCAAATTGTGTCTCTGGAAAGGGAATCTTTCCATCCATTCTGAATCCCACTAGAGCCTTAAAATATCCCCCACAAAGATTCTGCAACACCTGATACATCAGTATTTCCAAACTGTAAGGCCTTGGTGGCAGTTTTTTCTTTTTGCTCTTAGCACTCTTCTTGCCACCCCTCCCTTTGTGCATCTCACTATGAATGTCTTGCTCCATGAGGAATGAATCGGCTCGAGTCAATGCAGACACTAGCCAACCATAGAGAAACTGATAAAGGTACCAGTAAATATAATGATACTCATGAACCGAGTATAATTCCAATTCAAATCCGCTCAGCAGATACATCACCATAACTCTCAGGGTATGATAAAAAATCCATGTACCAAAGCATGCTAAATGAGAGCGTGAAGAGTCATTTTTCAGGGATAATGTATTCAAGTGTCGATCAACACGATCTGCCTCGTCATGGAGAGTTGCAAAATCCTCGAGCAAATGTGCCAGCTTATCCCTCTGTCTCGCCCTATTGTGCCCACTCAGTTGCAATAAACTGCCGAATAACGAGGTGCAGTGATAGAAAAATAACTCAACACATTCTCTAGCTTGGTGATTCTGCAGGAGAGTACTTCTAGCTAACAGAGCTGGTGGAGCTGAGAAATTTCTTGCAGCGTCCTTCAGAAAATCCATGAATGTATTAACCCCGAAAACTCTGTTTCCACCGGGTAAATATACAATTTGCAGCATTGATCTGGACAGAATACACGGACTCGTTCTGGAAAATTCTAGGAAAAAATCCAGAGAACTGTGGAAGCCATTGCAACTTGTTATCTTCGTTACTGTCTTCAATCTATTCAATAATTCGTCTATGTACTCCAAAGCCTCTATTCTCGGTTTTATCTTCGTGTAACGAGGAAATGTGGGGGGAAGCAGTCTCTGATTGACCATGGGGTCGAAACCCATCATTGTGGGGTGATTCGACATCTCATCGAATTTCTCACCTCTATTTACTGTCCTTAACATCACTTGAATCATCTCTGAGCAATTGGATAGGAGGCGTTGACATTCGATGAGATTTTGCGCGAGATTTTCCTTCTTTCCCATCAGTGACAGTGTCTGGTAGAACATTTTTGTGAATCTAATTCGGGCGTACAAGGCGAGGCCATCGTTATACTGTAAACCAATTGAATCATTAAAATAAAAATTCAGAAATAAAAAGAAACAAATTGCTTCATTACCTCTCTTTCAGTCTCTTCATTGACAGGCTTTATTCTACTTTTTCTATGGAGCTCCTCTTCAACCTCTTTCAGCATTGATACTGTTTTTTGCTCAGTAATGTCCTGCTGGAGCTTATACCCGTAAGTAACACTCTGGAAATCTTCCTCCTCGAAAACCATAGCTCTATTGATGGCATCTTTAATAACTTCTATAATTTTATAAACAGCATAACAGAATGTCTTCAGTGGTTTATCAACAATTTGTCCTGGTTGATGCAAGTAGAGATTAGTGAAGACAGTTTGGGCCAGACTGTGACCCTCCAGCCACGACACAATGCAAGCGTAAGTTGAATCAATGATACCAATGACTTCTGATGGAGTCAAATTATCAAGACGAATTGATCCAGACTCAACAGCCTGTTCAAACGTATAGGGCTTATTACTCCCACGATTGCACAGCATTCCAGCGTCCATTTTTGGATCCATCATCTCGATCGCAGACATTGCCTCGAAGAGGCCGAATAACTCATCATGAAGAAGCTCTCCAAGCTCAAGATCTAGGAAATAAAAAATAACATCGAATCATGAGCTTTACATAATGAAAACAATAACTGAATGACTTTGTAAAAATTGTCCCATTGTCCTTCAGCCACTGAATTCAAACACTTATAACTTGCAATTAATATGGTGCCCTACTGACCTGTTATGGCATCGAAGAATTCCTGAGTAATATCCACCCAATTGTATGTAACTTGTTCGAACCTAAAGTAATGAAATACACGATAATGACAGAACCAAAAAGGTTAATTCTCGATTGCACCCACAAGTTTCAGTAAAACGTACGGATAAAATACAGAAATAAGAGTTGTGATATTTTAGAAAGAAATAGTGTGAAATAAAAATTATTCACAGACTTACTGAGGTTCTTTGTCATCGCTCATATCAACTGAAATTTGCTCGTTTTCCGAGGCCGCCATTGTTTGGACTAGACTGATCAAAAGGAACTAAAGACTGCAGGTATTGGAGATGTATGTGAAAGTGATCACAACTCCCCTCTGACAGCTAGTGGACAAAAATTCACGTCTCTCCCGTCGATTTGACTAATTCCGTCGATAAGTCGAACTCCTTAGGCACCGACTGAAGTTTTTTGAAGTAACCACGTGTTTATAACCTATTGTAGGAATGTTTTGAATCACAAAACACTTGTCACTTCCGTTTTCCATTAAAAAATTCATGAAAAATTCATTATTTTAATTATTGCATTAAAAAAATTGAGAAATGAGGAATCTGGCTGTTCTGTATCACAGCATCAGAGGGTTGAGGGAGGCAGAGGCAGGATGTCCAGAGCTCCAGGAAGCACTCGATAAACAATTCGTCTGCAACAATGATCCTGACAGTGACACTCTCTTTATTTTGGAGGGAAATCGCCTCTTTTTTATTAGTTGCAAAGAGGACATTGAAATTGCCATTGAAAAGGGCATTGATATTCCAAGTGCATCAAGGACACCGGTTGGAGTGGAGCACTGGAGTGACAATGGACTGCTGTACTGTGCCTATTCATCTGGAGAATTGGTCAAAGTCATACCAAAGTGGCCGTTCAATCAGGAAATCGTTGCGAATATCGAAGAGGGAATAAAATGCATTAAATTGAGTCCCGACCAGGAAATACTCGTCTTGATTACTGGGATTGACAATGTCATTACTATGATGTCCAATCTCCAAGTGTTATCCAAGGTGAAACAGTCTGAAAAACCGCAAAAATAGATTTTAATCTAGTTTAAATTGCTTGCATGTTTATTCTGGGCTTTTTGATTGAAGGAGCTAAATGAATATTTTAGAGTATAAATAAAGGTGACAATTTATGGCATTGCCAGTGCAATGTTTTCTATTTCAGCAAATTTTTTAATATGCAATTTAATATGCACTAGGTAAATTTGCACACTGACCAATTCGGAGAGAGACAATTCATAACAGCTGGATGGGGTGCTAAAGAGACACAATTCCACGGTACCGAGGGTAAAGCAGCAGCAAAAGCAAAACCAGTGATAATAGGTAAAACTGAGAATGATACTGGTACGTGCTCAGTAACATGGCGAGGTGATGGCACCCTATTTGCCGTCACATTTCTGAATAAATCGGACGATGCTAGGCACTTCAAAGTCTTCAACCGTGAGGGCGTCCTCCAGTGGACGAGTGAGTTGACGAGTGGCTTGGAAGAGAACCTTTCCTGGAAGCCATCTGGCAATCTGCTCGCCTCCACCCAAAGACTCCCGAACAAGCACGTCACAGCACTCTTCGAGAAAAATGGACTGAAGCACCGAGAGTTCTCTCTTCCATTTCTACCAAATGAAACCCATGTGAAAAAGATCATCTGGTCACCAGATTCAGAGATTTTAACCATCTGGTGTCAGAAGTACCATCAGAAGGAGACATTCCTCCAGCTGTGGACAGAGAATAATTACCACTGGTACCTGAAACAAACAATTCCCTTTAAAGAGGAGAACCCTCTGGTATTTTTTACCTGGAGCACAATTCCCCGTGCTAAGAAACGTCTGATCATCCTGACCAGGGACAACTTTATGATTTACGCATTCAGATGGTCAATCGATCGCACTCGTGGACAATCTGACGACGATAAAGCTGTCGTGGGTGTTGTTGACGGTGACAGAGTTCTCCTGACTGCCTTCAAAGTGGGCATCATGCCACCCCCCATGTCACATCACTCAGTGCAAATTAATGGAACATCCAATGGTTTCTTCTTCGCACCACTTTGTCTCAAAGATACTCACCACTGGCTTGATTCCAATTGCTTATTCGTAAATGTGAAGAATAATCAATTGGCACTGTATCTCCATCAAGATGTTAGTATTGCATTTTATTTGCTCATAATCATGATTCCATGCCAATTTTCTCATCCTCATAATTTTTAGGAAGGGCCCCTAAGCTATAAACATTTTAAGACCTTTGACTTGGAGTGGAAAGTCCCAAAGGTGGTGGACGAGAGACTGGGGTACACAATGCATCATTTCGTATGGATGAGAAACGATTTGATATTATGCTCTGCATCTGTTGAAGGGCGAAGTTATCTTTGCGTTGTGGAGGTGGAGAATCTAAACGTAGAGAGAGAAACTGGAAGACTTGTTGTCAGGTAACCCAAAATCATCTATTTTGAGTTTTCAGAACCGCAGTAAATTCGTCAATAATTTGGTGACTCGATAAATGCCCTCGTATCTCTCGAGACATCTATGCACTTTCTTATTCGACTCGATTAATCGAAATAAAATTTGCACTGCAAGTGTCTTCTTAATTGAGTCTGTTGAACGGCTCGTTTGTTTGTCAACAGTGAAGCCTTGATGATGGACGGTTCTATACATCATATTGCCCCGACCACCGATCTAAACCAAGCGTATCTGATCGTGGATAGTAGTGTGTTGCAATACACCCACGGAGAGGGTCTCACACCAACTGAAATATTTTTACCAGAACCGTGTGATCACGTCGAGGTCGTTAGGATCGGCATGCGACAAGTGCTCGTCACACTTGGTAGCAGAAACCGTCTCTTCCTCGACGGCGCAGAAGTTGCTAATAACATTACTAGTATTTGCATTCATTCGGAATTTCTTCTGCTAACAACTCTGCAGCACGCACTGGTAACGGTCAAGATGGATGAGCTTGGTTTTTCCAAATTTTCCACATCGACGCTATCAATTAAATCATGGGGGACTGATTTTGATGAGAACACAGGTAATTTAAATATTCATCATTTAATATTGACAGTGAAAGTGGATTTCTCTTGAAAAATAATTGATTTCATCTCAACATTGTATTTTCAAGGATTGAGCATAAGAAGAATGGAACGAGGTGGAAGTCTAGTGAATGCTTTACGTAAGGATGATAAAGCCATTCTCCAGATGCCCAGAGGTAATCTTGAGACTATTCAGCCACGTTCCATGTCTCTCCACATAATCAAAACCCATCTGGTCTCCCTCAACTACTTCACAGTCTTCGATATAATGAGAAAACAGCGAATTAATTTGAACTTGATCCACGACCACAACCCTCGAGTGTTTATGTCGACCGCTGAGAAGTTCATTGATGACATAAAAAATCCCTGCTGGTTGAATTACTTTATCTCCGAATTGGTCGAGGAGGATGTTACTGATACCATTTACAGAAGCTGCTACACGAAAGAGGAAAATGCAGTGAGAAGGGATGAATTTGAAAAGCCTGACGGTCGCAAGGTCGAGCGAATCTATCAGCATCTTCGACAGATCATGGAGAAGAAAGCAGATAAACGAAATCTAGTGCAGCCAATTCTTACGTGCCTAGTTAAAAACAAGCAAGTATCTGGATTAGAGGCAGCTCTCCAGAAAATTAAAGAGTTCAAATCAAAAGAGGGAACGAAAGAAGGTCGTCAACAATCAGCAGACGAGGCTCTAAAGTACCTTCTGTATCTCGTTGATGTCAATGTTCTCTACGACATAGCCCTGGGAATGTACGACCTTGATCTTGCTAAATTCGTGGCGTCAAAGTCCCAGAAGGATCCCAAGGAATACATACCATACCTCAACAATCTGGCTCAACTTGAGGAGCATTACCGTAAATTCAAGATTAATAAAGATCTCAAGAGATACGAAGCAGCCCTGGAGCATATAGCCTATCGCCTGGATAAATTCGACGAATGTATTGATCTCATAGTTAATCACACACTTTTCGTAAAAGCTGTTAAAATATTCCCGAGGGAAACTTACGAGTACAGGAAAGTCACGGGGATAGCCGGTGAATACTTCTTGAGAAATAAAAAATATCGTGAAGCTGCAGTGATGTACCATCGCAGTGGGAATCTGGAGCGGGCCTTTGAGTGTTATAAAATATCGGGTAGTTGGCAGGATGCCATTATAGCCTCTACTGAGATGGATTTGAATCCTGGGGAAATGAATAAATTGTATAAAATTCTTGTGCGTCAGATGGTTGAGGACCGACGATTTTGTGATGCTGCAGAAATATCATTGGCGTATCTCAAATCTGAGGAAGATGCTGTGTCCCTGATGTGTCAGGGTAAAGAATGGAGAGAGGCATCAAGAATAGCGCATACCTATGGCAGATTGGATTTAATCGAGACGGAGGTGAAGCCTGGGGTGGAGGAGCACGCTGCATGGCTACTGTCCAAAATATCGGAGAATAGGGGAGAGTTTTTAAAGTATAAGAAGAGACTGCTCATTGTGAGGAGCGAAATAGCTAAGAGGGAGGCCGAAGAGGCCCTCGCTGAAGAAGATGATGGTGCGGGTGGAGAGGTCAGTGATCTATTGAGCGAGACCAGCAGTCTTGCGGGATCCAACACCAGCCTCAGCTCTGGGAGCTCGAGGAGCTCCGGAAGGAGTTACAGATCGAGTAAAAATAGGAGAAAGCAAGAGAAAAAAGTACTCAGCATAAAAGAGGGGAGTGTTTATGAAGATCTGGCACTTGTTCGCGCACTACACACTATTATTTCTACTGCCTATTCTCAGAGAAAAGAAGTTGTAAATGTCAATCGAGCTTTACTCAGTTTGTATCTCGACGAGACAGCTGAAAAATTGCAGAATGCACTCATTGATATGATTGAAATTATCGAGAAGAATATCGACGAGATCTGGCTGAGACGAGAGAGTGAAGAAGAAGAGAATCGAGTGAATGGACACAGGAAGATGAACCCCCGGAAACTACTTGAATCCAAATTCACGTATGCACCTGAAGTGTCTTCGGTCAATTGGAAACTAGACATATTTTCAACAATTAAACGTACACCCAAATTGTAGATACAAATTATTATGGCTAATAAATGCACTTTTTTAGACTTACATAGTGATTTTTTTTTAATCCAAAAACTCTTCGCATATCCTCGCACTTTTTTATTTACATGTAAAGTATGGTTTGAATATTTAATTTATCCGCTAAGATGTTTTTTTCTCCGTGTGGCATTTATATTAACTCTCGGAATTTTTTTTTATCGGCCGGCGCTAGAACAGTTTTTACTTTCGTTTCTTGGTGATATATTACAATAGTTTTCTCTTCCAAGTTTTTGCCGAAAGTTTGAACTTATATTAATATTCCTTTTTTTTTTAATTAACAAGAATTGTCTAAAGTGCAGTTTACAAAAGTGTGATTGTATTTACAAATGCATTTCCTTGCTGGTATCTCAGACATCGTGCCAATTTTATTAGTTTCTTATGCCTATAATTATTCAATCAATAAAACGCTTAAATATAAGAGATATATTATAAAATGATCATGCAGTATTCGCGTCTGATTTAATTCAATAGCCGAGTAATTATCTTACACCGGTGGAGTTACTAATTGAAGTGTCAAAAGTTGGATACAAAAATATTAGAGAGGCACTTTAATGCATCTGCAGTGTTTAGAGTCATCGACAAGAAAGAATTGTTCACCGTAATGTCAGTTCTGGGTTGAATATCGTGTATCAAAGACGAAAACAGACAAGTATTGACACTAAGTCCTATAAAAAAAAAACAGTGGCAGTGTATAGTGTTATATGTATTCTGAAATAGGGGATCATTAAAATATAATGTATATCTCTAAAAAATGGATGCTATATACTTGAATTTGCCGAGGCACTAAAATGACAATAATAAAAAATCATTTGACTGTCGAAAATGTCTTTCTACAATTTTTCGAATCAACAGATTGTCTGCATTCTTATCCTTAAGTAATCTTTATCGTATGAAAAATAGCATCCAATAGAACAAGAAAAGTTTCACTAGCAAATTGTTTGTCAAATGTCGTTCATATAAAAAAAAAGATCTTTTTAATTTATCAAACAGCCTTTCATAGCTCTGGTCTCGGAATAAAGAGTTGCTAGTCGGCGAAGGCTAGCGATAGACATTGAACAAACAGAATACTTCCAACCTCAATAGCCTAGATAAAATGTTTTATCATTTTCAAGTTGAAAAGCAAATTTCCCCTATATTACAGACATTTGAAGTCACTCCAAGCTCATTGAGAATAAGCGAGGAGTTGGAGGTTGGGGGATTTGAGCTCTGGACGTAGACTGATTTTCATGTGCTTATTGCTGAAGTACTTCTTCCTCACAGCCTGATATTTGCTTTTATCTGCATTAACTATGATCGTTGCAACTGAACGAACAACTGGCAATACATTCTCCTTTGTGTACGTACTGTAGTAGGCCAAAGTACTGCTCCAGATGACTTTGTCACTCTCATCGTCATTTCCAATGACACTAAATAAAAGTAAATGATAACGATAATTATTCACTTTTCTTATGCTACTAAAAAAATAATAACACTCACAAGAAAGCAAGATACAGCGCAGCTGCTGCAATGAGACTTGGCGGATAATGGCACATCTCGTAATGCACCAGGCTTTGCTCTAAGAAGTACTTGGCCATTGTATGGTGGACTGGAAGGGCCTAAATTGGAAAATAATAGACAATGGAGATATTATCAAGATATTATCAAGATGGATCAATTGATAACCGAATTTTGGAATAAACTATTGTATATTTACACGTCCAGCTTTGCTGTATCGTCTCAAAAAATGCAGAGGTAGTGGTCGTCCAAAGGAATAATCCAGTGTTTTGACAATCAACATTTCCATTTGTAATATTTCAGTCTTTGTGTAGGCATTATCCGTAATGTATACAAAGTCAGCGATGTCAGGGGCGAACATTTCTTCGTATTTGCACGATATAAACATTGCAGCTACTCCCACGAGCTGGAGCCGTCTTCGATTGATTGACTTGAAAGACTGGAAGAGAATTATTTGAAATTATTTGAATAAAAAAGAAAGTAAAATAGTGGTACAATAAGAGAAAGAGATCGTTCTCACTTGTAAAAATCTGTCGATCACAGCAACAGTGAGATATAGCGTTTCCTGAAGTAAATGGAATTGCTGATGTACCTCAACGAGCCAATCAATAAGAACACTTCGCATTTTCGGTGTGACCTCTTGCCCAGCCAAATATCCCGCCTGTACCGGGAAATTCCTCTCGAGTTCCATCAAATACTTATAAATATCATTACTATAGGCAGTGACTAGAATTGGATTTCCCTTGTCTGCCTCGTCAATGTCCTCGATGTGCAAGAGATCAGCTGAGAATGCATCAATTTTCATCTTGGGTATTTCATCGTGCAATGATAATTTTTGCTCGAGCTGTTTCACCTCAATTGGCGTTTCAATCTCTTTTTTAAGCACTGGCTTGACAACTTGTGCTGGTGGTTTCTCAACTAGTTTATCATTTTTCATACTTGGCCCTTGCTTGACCACTGGCTTCTTCTGTGCCTTAGGCAGCAGATTCGATGTACCACGAACAGTGTTAACTCTGTTACCAATTTCTCCGAGGGCGGCACGCCTCGTTTGTCCCGAGACTGCATTTATCGCAGATTTAACGTTCTTTGTGTTCTCTTGGTTCACAGTGTTCTGGAATTATTTTACCCGCCAATTAATTCTATATCTCCCAACATATTTGAGAGTTTTTTTTTATTTAAAAAATTAAGAAGATTTTTTCTCGCATTCCCCCAGTCTCTGAGGCGTTTATATAGTCTACGAGGTGAAGACACGTGGAATCAACGATTGGTCAATGAAAAAAAAATTGTTCTGCAGAAAAGTCACTTTCTTCTCACAAAAGTCGTAGATCAGCCCCCGGACGGGGTAAGGGGGTGAAAAATAATGTTTTTAAAAACATTTTTGACCCCTTCAGGCGCTTTAAGATTATCTACCAATTTGGATTTTATTTTTCACCTTTAGTAAAGTTTTCCCTTGGAATATTTTCTTATTTATACTCAAGGGACTCACGCAGAATCAATAAGATCGAGGTAAACATGAGGGGAAATAAATAAATGATAAACAGAGGACGTCCTTCAGCTTCAGGTAGAAAATCCCCCAGCATTGTCGGGAAATTTAGCTCTTCGAGAGAGAAGAGAGCATTTTCTCTTTTTTCGAAAAAGAATAAAATCGCTGGTGACGCTCCCCCAAGCGATACGTTTCCCTTCCAGGAATGAAAAAACCGATAGAAAACGAAAAACTCGAAATCTCATAAATTCACTTGGATTGTCGTCAAATTATTTTCAATGATGATGAATAAAAAAAAATAAATGAAACATCCAATTACAGATGGGATTTATTGTATTGGATAGGATGGGCTTTAAAGAAGCCAGGGCATTTAAACGCCTTGACGGTTACACCATCCCCACATTCGCCTCCCCAGCAACCGTTTTTTTTTTCGTTTCACGACAACCGCCGAATTTTTCTAAAAAAATGATTATCCAACTCACCGTAAACGCCGTCCTATTCCTCAACGCCATCGTCAATTGTTTGTTTTCTCCAATTTATTTATCACAAATCACTGAGCAATCAGAATATCTGACAACGTTTTTTTGTCGACCGAAGTCAGAATCTCTCTTCCAGCGAATGCTCGGTTTCCCCAACAGGACAGCGTTGTCGATCTCAGTAACGACTTCGTCTATTTGAATTTGTTTGGTCCTTACAAAAGCAGTTGACTGCTCATTGGACAACTACCGGATGTTTTTTCCGCCATCTATACACCAACTGCAACTTCAAAGGCGGGATGAATTCTAACAGATGATTGGTTGGTATTTGGCGGGCGATTTGATTTCCTGTGAAATGTTTACCGCCCAATTATTCACGTAAATCAGGAAATACTGTTAATAATAAATTGCTCAGTGAATTAATTAGGATGTGCAGAAAAAAAATTAGGATCGCAATAAGATTTTTTGTTTCGGAGGAGAAAATGAAAACGGAAGTCAGGGGCAAAGAGGATTGACTAAAGTAGAGGCTCAGTTCTGGGGGTTTGAGTGACCCCAGCGGCATCGTAGTATTGCACCCCAAGAGAGGGAGGGCGCAACACGCAATGCTGGGGTGTTTTTTTTTTATTAACCAAGTTTTTATTGCAATGCTCGGGTGTCCATCAAGCCGACGGGGTGAATTTCATTTTCTGCTGTACGAATACTTTTTGTTTTTCATTTGTTTAACTGAAATTTAGCCGACTGTAGCACGTACGGAAGGGGGAAACCACATCTTGTGGAATTTCAATGGAAAAAATTATTCAATATGTTGAA